AACTGCCTTTTAACAGGCAGAAACCTAGGACAGACCCTTCGGCTCTAGGTGGGTGGTCGTCTGCCTCGACCAGTTGGGGTGAGAGAGAGAGAGAGAGAGAGAGAGTATGAGTGAAGTCACAAAGACATATTCTGATCTGATGTGTCTTTTCTTGATTGTTTTGTTTGTTTTAAATGAGATACTTGTATGAACCCCATGTACTTATATGCAATAAATCAGGAAAACACAAATGTTACTTTCCAGCACTGTACTCACTCATATTACATGATCTTTGTGTTAACCTTATATTGCAAATAGGTAGAAATGCGAAATAAATACACACATGACCCATAAGAAATCATTTACTTAGATATTTTTCATAAATACTTCTTACATGACTCAACTGTTTGGATATTTGTTCTTCGTGGTATAAAAATAAAGTGTGCAAATGTCCAGAAAGATGTGTTAGTAAGTCACATGAATGTACACACAAACAGAGTGTGATATGCACATGCAGGTTTTAAGTTCCAACACTACTGTTTTTATATTCTAATTCTCATACATCATATTGTATTTATTTTAAAATCTAAAATCTGGTTAAGTAATAGTATTATAAAATGTGGGAGAAGGAGAGTGGAATGAGTTGTTTTTTTTTCTTGTGGTTTTTGAAGTTTCACTTTCCAGTCACAGAAATTTCCCTTGATCACAGGAAGGATGAGGTATGTGTCTATGAGTATTTAAGACGACCCTCAGCCTCTAACCATCACAGTTCATCTGTCTGCAGACTTTGCTTTATACCTAGTCTCTTTAGCTGCACTTATTACAGCTCCTTTTTACCATCTTCACACCAGTGTCATCTTGACCAAAGAGGAAACCAACAATGTCTGGCATCATGAAAGTGTTTCTGCTCCTGGCTGTCATGGTCTGCATCTCTAAAGCCCAGCGTAAGTTTTTATATTTTTCCTGATTTAAAACTTTAAAACATGTAATGTGAGGTTTGTTTGTTGAAAATCTGTTTTTTTTTTATACATTTGATATGTAATGGTGGAAAACCTTTGAATGACATTAAATTATTTTTTCTCTGTCTTTCTCTCTAGTCCGTGAAACAGGACAGCAGTGTCTGTGTCAGCGTGTCAGAGGACCTGTTGGCTTGAAGTCTGAAATTAAGGACCTCCAGGTCTACCAAGCAACCATCTTCTGTCAAAAAGTGGAGATTGTGTAAGAGAAACTAAAATATTTTATTAAGATTGCAGTAGTGTGGGATGTTACTATATTAATGTGTCATAATTACAAAATGACCTCACTCATTACCTCTACTGTCAATTTCAACAGTGTCACCTTGAAAAGCGGCTTTCGCTATTGCCTGAACCCCAAGTTGAATGCAGTGAAAAAAGTCCTGGCTAACATCATGTGAGTATATTTACAGACGTATTTGTTAGAGATAGAAGACAGTAACAAACAGTGACATAATGTCTTTATCACGCTGGTTTAATGTATCTAATGTGTGTCCTTCTTGTATTATTGTCATTTCTAGAGCCAAACAGAAAACTACTACAACCAGACCCACTGAGTTTACTTCCACTTCAACCTCCCCTGGCAGCACCAACACAGCTCGCAACTGACTCTCTTTAACTCCTTAGATCAATAAGAAGCTTAGATGAACCTATGACCCCCAACAAAAGCACCTCCGATATGTATATGTGAAATGAGTGAAACTTTTTGTCTATTTATCTTCTATTTATACTGATCTGCACGTACAGTATCTCCGTTCTATTTCCTATTTGTTTTTGTAAATAGATGACTGTGTGTGTTTTTTTTCAATTTTAGTCATTTCTGTGTTTTTAATAATAAAAAAAGAAAACAAATCAATGGAGCATTGAGTAATTGTTTTCTGTTTCATGTCCACTTTAATTGTGTCCTATATCAACAGTGCTATCTTGTGGTTCAGGGCTGCCAATGCAGCAAATACATTTTGTCTGTGGCTCCAAAACATCAGGTGTTAAAGGAGATTGTGTTATTTCTGCCATTTAACAGAGGGAATAACAGCTACACATCAACATATAGACACAAAAGTTGGACAGTTGTATCATCTGTTGGTTTATTAATTTCACTGTGCACTCTCTATCTTGATTCTGTTTTCAGTTTAATATTCAGATTTGTAGTTTTATAAGGTTAACAATGCAATTATATTTCAGAATTTAATTAAAGAAAAAAGAGACACAACTGAGAATAAAATGAATATGTCTCTCTTTCTGTATCTTGCTTACTCACATGCACGTGCACTAGTAAGTAATGATGATGACCTGTTGCAAACCAAAACTGTGGAAGGCTAACAGTCTTGAAGAATTTAAGCACTGGAAAGAATCTACTTGAAAAATCATTTTGTTGAAAAGAAAACTATTGGATCAATTGATTATTGTGGAAAACCGAAAATGGATTGAATATGTCCCTCTGCAGGCCACACACCAATCAATGAGGAACATCAGTTGGAGAGAGTCACTAATGAGTTGGACAATAACCATAAAGGGAAAACAACTTTTTATGATTTTATTTATGATTCATTGATTCATTCCCTTAAAATCATTACAATTTATTGTGAGTGCTTCCATACTTTTGGGGAATTTAGCTTGTTGTGTTAAAACTCTACACGCAAGCCAAAGAAAACACAACATCTCTCTTTTGTCAAAATTAAACTCTGCACACTAAAGTACTTTATACAAAACACAGCTGTCTTTAGTATTTTGTCTACCTTTATATCACTTTCTTATCACTTTGTGAACACACTCAAATAGAATTCAGTTTCTCTTTTGCCAATGCAGGTTTTTACAAGAACAAAAAACACAAAGGAAAGTAGAATTACAGTACAACAATCAATATAATATGTTACTGTAAACTCATGGAAAATAATTACAGTAAAAATTACAGTGCAATGGTTAAAGAAATAGTATCATAAGAGATCGGGTGGTTGGTTGGTTAGTAGAGAAGAGTACTGATAAAGAGTCCCTTTTTGGTTATAGTTGTAACATGTTTTGGTTCAGCATCTGTGACTCACTTAATCTTTTAAATCTTTATACAAAGTAATCACATTTGTTTACTACCAGTTCAGACCTCTGCAAGAGTTTAACAGACCTCGTGAGTTGGTTTCAAATACACGGTGTTCCTTTGGTACGACCTACCCACATGCTGGGTATGTTGTAAGGATTAGACAAAAGAAGAGAAGAGGCCACACTAAGTGAGATGTTTCAAAAATAGGTTTTTGAAATAAAAAAAAGCAATCCAGGAAAATGTCTCTGTCTTTGTGGTGTGTGTGTGTGAGAGAGACCAGTAGTCCTTGTAGGGACCAAAACCCTGTCCTAATGAGACAAAAGTCATTTCTGATGTCCTGGTTGCAAAAAACTTGTGTGTGTTTGTGCATGTCTATAAGTCTACTAAAACAAACTTCCTTAACAGTATGTATGCTTAATAAACACTTTTCTATTTACACAGTTTACTTGTGTAAAGAACTTGTAGGTCTAGTAAAACAAATTCAATCACTGTGTTTCTTCCAAGGTTAACACATTAAAAGATACAGTTCAAGCAACTAAGTAGAGTAAACAGTGGTTAAGTATCCATTAACGCAGCATAGAATTACCCTTATTCTAATATTTGATAACAGTATTAAAGGGCCTCTTGTGTGTTGGTTGCTTAGTAATACGTGTAGTACAGTTGTAGTTAGGATATGGATAAGCATTTTTTACTTGAATTGTTGCTTATTTAATCCCAAATATTTAATGTTATGAGATTGATATTTATTATCTTGATATTTCACATTTGAAATCAGGTTTTCGGGTGCTTTAAGTTGTTTCCTCTCAGTTGGTCTAAACAACAAAACTACTACAACCAGACCCATTGAGTTTACTTCCACTTCAACCTCCCTTGGCAGCACCAACACAGCTTGCAACTGACTCTCTTTAACTCCTTGGATCAATAAGAAGCTTAGATGAACCTATGACCCCCAACAAAAGCACCTCCGATATGTATATGTGAAATGAATTAAACTTTTTGTCTATTTATCTTCTATTTATACTGATCTGCACGTACAGTATATCTCCGTTCTATTTCCTATTTGTTTTTGTAAATAGATGATTGTGTGTGTTTTTTCTCCATTTTAGTCATTTCTGTGTTTTTAATAATAAAAAAAAGAAAACAAATCAATGGAGCATTTAATGTTATGAGATTGATATTTATTATCGTGATATTTCACATTTGAAATCAGGTTTTCGGGTGCTTTAAGTTGTTTCCTCTCAGTTGGTGTAAACTACATCATTGAAAGATAAAAGCAAGTACTGCAGGTCAAGAAGCACAAATCGACAATAATATGAAAAAATCTTATATAGAAAATAAAAGACAACCTGTACAATATGACTATATATTGTTGGCTATGACTATTTCAAATGGAAGCTGTAATGTTTCATATTATTACAAATTATTTGAACCAGTCCCAAAACGGCCTATAGCCTGTGGTGGACTCTGGTGCTCTTAGAAGTGCTGGAAAAGTGCCCTGTACAGTGGTCCAGTATCCAAGGTGGAGGTCAATACTTTCTGCATACTGGTGCCCCACTGCATGTAGTAGGTGCCCTTTTGTATTTCCTCCCCACCCCTGCCCCTCAGACAGCCTGAGTCTGCCACTGTTGCCAAGCATTAAATATCAGAGGGAGTCACACTCTAAGGTGTCTTACGTTCACTGTTAATGGGTCTTACAAGTCCTTACATGTATCAGTTACCAGAGGACAGGAGACTCTGGGATTACAGGGTCAGTAACCAACCATGTGTTCCCACTCAACTCTGACAGGGGCGGCTCAGATCAGTTGAGTCTCATAGGCTAATCCTCTACACCCATCACACACCCATCTCACACACACACACTCTGGCATTCGTTCCCTGCGATTTACCCCAAACCTAACCTGTGGCTACATTTTTTTGTTTTCCTTATGGGGACAAGCTTTTTGACCCCAAATGGGAATTGAGTGAACAGATTTCTGTCCCCACAAAGTGGCCAATACAAACACACACACATTCACGCACACACACACACACACACACTTTGGGAGTTAAATATGCTTCATACATTAAAGATTCATTAGGAGTTCTTGCTGCGATTGAAATTCCTCCCCAAAATGTTACAGGAGCCTATTGCCTGACCCTCTCCGTTTTGAAATATGACATTTAAATGGTGTTTTCCCTCACACTTGTTGGCATTGTTGCACATAAAAACTCTTAACACTTAACATGCATATTGCACCATACTTCTCCCCAAACATGCCGCGTGGCTTTAAGTTTCAGATGATCACTTCCGCCGGCTGTGTAACCGGCGAGGTGCGTTCACTGAGGACGTCTCTCAGCGTTTTGTTTACCCTTTGCATGTCCAAAAGTCATGGATGAACCAACCGATGAACAAACACACGGTCGGCTATCTGTTCGTTCAGTCTGTCAAAGCGGTGCGACTGCGACAAAGAAATCACTGCAGCTGTGGAATAATCTCAACGGGAGAGAAGAGGAAATATTGACAGGTTGAGGTAAGTACACTGTAGCATTCATGACAAGCTATTCTCCTTCATGTAAACGCCGCAAATGACTGGACAATATAAAGAAACTAACAAGCTATAATGGAATTTAATACATGTTGAGATTATGGAGCACAATTAGTGGTTTAATTCTCGATAGTGTATTTAGTATTTAAGGGAGTGGCCTCCCTTAAAGTAGCCTAAATGTTATTAAAAATAATAGTTCAAATAATCGCAGACGATATTCCCACACCCGCCTATGGCGTGACTTCGGTTCCCTTTCTTTCTTTTTTTTTTGCAAGTCACTGTATTTGGCTCCCCACCGCGCTGACGTGAACAACAGCAGACATGAGACAGTTGTCTTTAAAGTCTTCCCACCTAAATCTGCAAAATGTAAGAATTCTGACAGAATTTAGTTTTCAGTTTTGCAGATGGCGGACGGTCCTGACATCATTCATTTAAGTGGAGGTGGGGGGGTTGCAGGTGGAGTCCAATGGAAAGTGAGGCCAGACAGACTGATAAAGCACACTGATAAAAGACATAAGGTTGGTCATAATACAAGAGGACTAGTGAGAGTGTAATGTAAGAAGGAACTGGCTCTGCAGATTCTGTTCTATCAAACAGACAGTGTTTCCTTAATTCAAGTTTCATTTCCTTGTGAAAAGGAGCCTGCTTTTTCTTCACAATCTGGCTGTTTATCTCTGCCACGGGAAGAAGAGGGGCTGGTATATGAGGGTGACTGTGACATAAACTGATATTAATGACAGTGCTGTAACTAGACTCTGGTTCTATTTGGAGCAGGTCAGAAACGGGACACTATGCGCTGTGCACAGTAAATACAGCTCTCTGATGTGTTATTCTCTGACTTAACCTGGGTTAGGTTAATGCATGAATTTATTTATTAGCCTCACTTCTTCATCAACGTGTTGTTGCGTGCACTGCACACTATTACTGCCGGAGGAGCAGGCCTTTCTATCTGCCTAATGATGATGTAACACTGTGTGTGATGTCATGAAGTGTTCAGATTTGGAGTTCAAAGAAGAGCAGAGTGGACCTCCAGTCAACCTCCAGAGTCTCCTGTGGTCGGGCCCACTGATCTACTGTCAAAATGGCATCAAGACGGGGAGACATTCCAGGTAATTTTAGATTTAGATACTGTGTGCCGCCATGTGTGAGTGTATCCAAAAATATCCTTATGCAAAACAAAATACAGTTCTAACATTTCCCTTGCTCTCCCATCCTTCAGCACTTGAGTCTGGCACGTCATCCGGTCTCTTCGGTGCCTTTTCGTCTCCGATTGGAATGACTCGGCACAATATCATCTATGACGAGCATATGGATTCCCCTATGCATTCACCACCTCCAGACTTGGCTGTCAATATGTTGTGGAAAGACCCCATCATCCCACAGCACAAGTTCAGGAACATTGCAGAGGTGCTTTCCTGTTTGTTGTTATGGTCTGATCTGTTTGTACTAGCTTGTGTGAAACTTCTTCCTGATGGTTAGGTGCATGCCTGGACCCATTCGCCTATTTGTTATGTAATTCCTTTGTAGGATAATCCTAACAGTGTAAACTTGTGTGACTAGGAAAGCGAGAGTGGTGGGAAGTTGCTGACTTTTGAGGCAGCAGCACCAGCCAAGTCCCCAGTGCCTGTTGTGAAAGCCAAAGCCACCTCTTTAATGAGCTCACTTATGATCAGTAAGTCAACAATCCTGTTTGTGTGAGTAATTTCATTTAAGAACATTTATTTTCATTTTATATTAAACATTTAGACATACAAGTCACATAGACACAGATATGTTTTTTTACAACACGTCACAGCATTATGTAAGCTTTATCAATGATTGTCAAAATGGCTGCTGCCTTGTCTTCCAAATATGGATAAACAGTCTTCAGAGTATCAGCGGGCTATAATGAAGTGCAGCATATTAAAACACTGACTAATTTTGTCTCCCCTGTTATTGTATGCCCATCTTAACTTAGAGCATACCCAGGAGAACCTACAGAGGTTTGAGCACCAGGCAGGGCTGACAGATGCCGGGTATTCTCCCCACAAGGGGCTCTCTGCCGAGGAGACGCGCTTTCACCGACTTGGTGACAGCACACTGCCAGTGAGTATGAACAAATGTGAGGTAGACGCCTTGACGTGCCAAGGAGCAGTTTCTCTCTGCGCTCAAATAATAATAAATAACTGAACAAATATCTGTGTGACAGGCGGGTTAGAGAGCAGCGCAAGTGGAATAAAAGGGAAAGAAACACCTACACACTTGCTTACTGCTGGTTTATTACAAAGTGTAGACCCCAATAAATGGTCTGACCTTCATCAGATGATAAATGCAATCAGGTATATTATAATATTATCATCAAAATATAGAAAACAAACCCAGATGGCAAGTTTATTCCTAATAAGAAGATTATTTATTGTTGTTAAATCCTGGAGAGCTAATTTAATGAAAAAGGGATTCTCTTGGACCATTCATTTTACCACCGCTTACTATCTTGCCATAACATTTTAGCTCATAACTAATCATGTATGTATCTCTAGCAGGCCGATATTGAAACATATTTTACAGGAAATGCAGAATTTAAATTACATTTAAGCAATCTCATTGTATTTGCATTTTGAATGTTATAGTATTTTGACAGTATTACATTTATTTAAATGCATTTGTTTTCAAAAGTATTTTAGAGATTCCTCTGCCTACCACTAGAGGTAGCTCGCGTACCACCAGTGGTACATGTACCTCGTATGAGAATTAGTGATTCAGCACACAGTACCTGTGACTGTGTGGATGCACAAAGGTTGTGTTTTCTTTTCTGTCTAGATTTGTCCAGTTTCGCTGCCCACTATAGCCCACCCCCACATGCTCACGTTTCAAATGCTATCAACTGGTCTGTCACATGTACTGTTATTGTAGCATTTGAACACAGTGTTGTGATGTTGAACACACAGGATCACAAGGTGTCAAGGTTCACTTATTTGTTATTTTACAGCACCGGGTTACACAATGAAATCTAATTTATAGCCCCTTCGTGCTATACACATATGTAAATATTTAAATTAGAATAGAATAGAATAGAATAAAACAATTTGTACAGTTATATAGGCTACATATACATATTGTGAAGACTATATTCCTAATGCAACAATTAGGTGTCTGTGTTATTACTTAAAACAAACAATAATAATGGTGGGAATGTATGATAATAATACCATATTGCTGTAGCCTGTTGAGTGATAAACATGGGACATCTCGGTAAACAGATTACGTAATAACCAGCTCGGCACTGGTTCCATAGACTGGCGCTTGTATCTGTGATGTTGCCAGGCAACGCCCTTAAATGAACCGAGCCCCCTTATTTTCTCAAACGGACCAATCACAGAGCTCCTTACAAAGAGACATTTTGAAGGCCCACTGCTGTGTGCACAGACGGTAGAGTCTGTGTTTTCGAGAAATTATAGCCCCTTAAACTTGTTAAAACAGCAAATTATGGACAAAATGAAGGAATCCATCGGACTGGAACGCCAAAGAAATCTTATCATAAAAAGGTATGTCGAGAAATGGTTGTGTTTAGTTGTTGGCTGTTTGTTCACTGCGGCCGGGAAAGAAGGCCGTTAGCATTTGAGCTAACCCGAGTAAACAAACTATATCTAGCGCTTAATATTACTGTAACGTAAACTGTCAACTGTAGTCATAACACCGTGTAACCCATAACTGAGTCAGAGGTGACCTGGGTTGAAATAAGTGTGCTAAGTAACGTTAGCTTAGTGTGTAGTTTAAAGGTTGTTCACAGTAAGTTGGTGAGCTGTGGCAGTGACTCTTAGCCTCCTGCTAACCTTAGCGGTACACCGACCAGTAATATTGTTTAATTAATAATAATAATGATAGCTAGAGCGAAGGAAATGTACGCTATGTCCTCATCTAACCTCAGCCTAACCTTAGTTTGTGGCCCTCGGGTATAATCATGTAATGTATCTTAATGATAATAAATAAAGTGGAACAGACTGGCGGTAGTTTCACTTTTGCTACGTTTATTTATATGATACACTAATCCTAGTTTCGCCTGCCATGTGCTATCATTACTTATTTCTAATAAAAAAATATATACCTAACTTCCTAATGCACCTAATACCTTATAGTTACCTTATAGTTACCTTATATTAGAGCCACTGGGTCTAGCGTGTAACATGTTTGGCTTTCTTCTGTCTCCACTGCTGCAGCACTTTATAAATCATACAGAAATACGGTGCCAACATCTTGTTGAATCCCAATTTGCAATACTGTCTGAGGTTCAGTAGAGGTGGGGCAGTGATGAACTCTCAACAGGATGCCAGAAAATACACAGGGGATTTAAAGCCACCCTGTTATTCATTTGCACATTGGCAACTGCGCTGAGCAGAATGCAGGACTACATATACGAGAGTGTGGAAGGACGCTCAACATGTAGAAGGGAATATCTCCGCGTTGACTGGAGACTGAACAGTGAAAATATACTTCCAGATATCATTACTGAAATAAACCTAAATATCAAGGCGAGTATGGTTGAACATGAATTTGTTAAAAAGTATCAGGATCTAAAAGTAGCTTTGAATAGAAGAGTAAAGCTGCAGATTATATTCACTTGGACTGGTGCTTTTGCAGGTGTTGCAGAGAGAACGCTTTTTTGATTTTCTGCGGTAATGTCCTTTTAAATAAAACTTGGCTCAGTGCTTATGTTATTAAAGCTCATTTGTATGTGTAATAATAATGTGGGACATCATGAATCACAATCATTTTATCTTGAATTACATTTGTCTCCCCCCTCTGTCTCTTTTCCTCCCACGCCACCTGATCACAGGTGATAGTCTCTGAAGATCTTTGACACACTTAATTAGTTTTAAACTGCAGGTCCACAAAAACACTACTGACCTCTTGCATTGTGTGTTCAGGGAGTGTTTGCTTTCTAAATAAGATCAATTCTGTGACTCTGACACATGAGTCACAAACATGTGCTGTGTCAGGTCTGCTGCTTGTACAGAGTGCGTAAGTCAAATATTAACAACCAGACAGCTGTTGTTTTTTTTTAGATCCCTTTCTGATGTACAGGCTGATCGTGTATGTTTGTTTTTCTTGTCTGTGCAGAAGTTGAGAATGCCAAGCGGGGACTTCAAGGAGGACAGGCTTACAACATCAGCACAATCCACCCCAAGTGGCACCCCTTCTGTCACCCCCTCCGTCACCCCCAGTGTCACCCCCTGTGTTAGTCCCCACACATCACCGGCTATTAGTCGCAGGTATGGATCATCATCTTTAGCTCAAATTTAAAATGTAACATGCTGCAATCCTAACATGCTTCATTTCCCACCATGGTCATATTGGGTGCCATATGGCATATCCTGTTTGCTTGTATGTTCATGTTTTGCTCTTGCTTGGTGGGAATACAGGACCTGGTTCCAGCTGAGTCCTGCGCCTTTTCTTGCCATCCCAGAGCCCAACAGTCTTAGCCCCAGCACAGACATGGGAGGAAATGAGGGAGGAGGAGGAGGAGAGAGGTGGAACTTCTTTGGAACTCGATCTGTGGTACAGAAGTCCCCCACTGACCCAGGCTCTGAAACCAGCACAGGTTAGAGATTTATACCCATGACTGTATTGCTGTATTGCTGTGTTGCAGTATTTTTATGTTGTAGTGATGCACAGTAGATTGTATAGTTTCCTGTAGCAGTAGGTTGAACTCTGTGCCACAATAACTGTGGCGAGGCCCTGGCGTTTACTCTTTGTCTCTGAATACAATAGTGCTGGTTCCACTGCCACAGATGCAACTGAATGGCTCTTGAAATCAGAGGGGAACTGCCAGTGACATGGTGGGGCTATTGAAGCCACAGTATGTGCTCCTAATGTGAACAAAAGGGATGCCCCACCACCCAAAAATTAAGATGCACAATTGTATTGATTGTATTATTAGACTGTTATATTGTTTTAGCACAAAAACTCAAGTTATACAAGTAAAAAAAATAAATAAGCATCATTAATGTGGTTTAGAAGTTTGCTTTTTTTTGCACCTGAAACCACACCCAATAGTGATGTCACATGGTCCTGGTTCCTATTTATTATCATTGTGCATCACTGCAGCAAGGTGAAAAGTGAAACCACTGGAGATCAGGTGGTGTTAAAACTTACTCATGACACACAAGCTGATTTAATTAATGACAATCTACCACTTCCCCCTCTCTGCTGCAGGCTTCTCACTTCAGTCCTACTTCGGCATGCAGAAGTCCTCTACTATGGATGGCACCAACACGCAGGTCAACTTCAAGGTGGACGACCCTGCCAACTTCATGCCCCCCAAGATTGAGATCTCGGGCATTGAGGGCAAGCGGGCGCCCCCTCGGCCACACAAACTTAAACCTCGGGACATGAATGTTTTAACACCTTCAGGTTTCTGAAGACAGACAAGCTGTGTAGTTACATCTCTGTCTAACCTCTGCTCATTTGTTTCCCCGTCTTTCTCTCTCTCCTCCGCCTCCCTTCAAATCCACTAAGGTTGAGAGGAATCAGGACTACCTTTAGGAATAGCTCACTAGCCTCTGTGACTTCACCGCACTGTTACTCCTCCCAGTGGACCTACATAGATGGATAATCTTCTATTAGTCCACACCCTCCTCCGCCTATCTCTCCCAACTCATTGGTCCAAATAAAACACCATATGAAGTAACTTAATTTGTCATACCTAAAGATGGCACAGCTTTGTATTATTATTGTTGTTTTGTCATGTAATGGGTGCACTGGCATGCCTTGCCTTGCTGTCCTCGTTCCATTGTCAGTGCTGGCACGAGAGTGAAGTTATTGAAATATCTTGTCAGCCCTTTGCTCGAGTTAATCACTTTAGCATCGCCAATCATACTGACCAGCTATTTCAATTCATAATGCTCAGTTGCCTAATTTTTTTTTTTTTTTTAATAAAAATAGGCTCACTGATTTGTTGTTGTGTAGTGCTTTTCTCTGTGAGCATGCAGAGTATAGTGTGGTATGACTGATATTGTGCCTAAACTTGCAGCGTGTTTGCTTTCTTGCCATCTAAGCTCAGCTTTTTTTTCCTTTTTCTTTTAATAATGTGCAAGAGCATCTTATTTTACTTTGTGAGAGTATGACTGCTGACCTGAAGTGATTTATTTTTTATTATTGTTATTTACAACTTAAGTATTTTCAGATTGTTCTGCTTTAAATCCACATTGTTCATACTAAATAGTAGTGGCTTTATTACATTTTTACATTTCATCTCAATATAGTTTCAACATGCTATAAAAATACAAAGCATTGAAGTGGTAATTTTTAATTTATAATTTTTTGTGTCACAACACAAGAATCCCTGCTGTTTTATTTGAAAAAAGTTGATGAATTCCAGTAAGTAAATGCACAAGGAGATTGTCTCCCACTTACGTCTGTAAATAAATCTGATACTAACAAGCAAAAATGGTTCTCTGGTTCCTTTTTACATGCAAACATGGAAATATAAGTGCATGGTAAAATCAGCCTACTCTCTTATACTGTGCGCATTAATAAATTGATTCCATATATATTCTCACTGTTAGGGAAACATTGTTTTGTGATTAGCATATGCAGTATTGTAGCAGTTACGTCTCAGAAGAAAAGTGTTGTTGACGGAGTTTTCAGTGTCACACAGGACATTTCCTTATGTATTTATGGTTGCCTAATAAATCAAACACTAGCAGAAAAATGAACTGCTGAGAAAGTACAGCATAATCATCGGACTGAACTGCTATTTAGGGCACATGGGCAGTGATTCAGACACCTGAAACATAAAACAGGCACAATATATATTTCTATATATATATTTCTACATTTTTCTTGACATGGAAATTGGCACCAACCTTAATCTTTCAGCACATGAAGGTGAAATATGACCCCTCTTATGTGTTTTTACGCCAACCATGAGTTACAGTATTTGGCCAGAAGGTGGTGCAATCAGCCCAACATGGTAATCACAGGGTTTTATATTCATTAGTTTGACTTTTATATTCCATGTGTTATATTACCCTGACTCTGATTAGAATCGAGAACATTAATTAATATGCTCAAATCAAATTAAATAGCAATGATAGCCATAGTAGCCATAATGAAAAGTGTGATAGATAATCAGGAAATTCATTTTCCCCCACAGACATTAAGGGCAAAAGTATCTTTCTGTTGACTAGTCCACCAGATCATCTGCTGTGTACACACTGATTTAATCAGTCTGTGAGACTGATGTTATTGTAGCAGCAATTATATTGTCAGCAATACTGCACAATAGCTGAATATTATTAACTACCCAACCAAAGCAAACATCCAGGCCACCAGAAAAAGAGCCGGTAGGTGGAAACAGTAGAGAGCAGAGTCCATATATACCCTGAAAGCTTAGCAATGAACTAGATGAGTTTACAGCCTTGTTAAAGGTCTTAGCAGTTATTGTCTGGTGCTCTGTTTAATGTGAGTGAGAGAGACAGCAGGAGTGTGTCTTTGTGTGTGCATGTGGCACATTTATTACAGGGTGTGCCTGTTGCTCTTGTTTTGTTATTTTCAGAATCATACCAGGGTGCAGATACAGAACATATTATATGTTGAGTATAAGTCAATAATGAATCTTCCTTTAGATTTAGTGCTGTAGTTGTAACAAAAGCAAGACCCTGACTTGAGGCTAAACATCCTTTCTCATCAACTTTAAACTTTGACTTTCTTTTATCTAGAAATTAGCTGGCGCTCATAAAAGGGACGCTCCCTTGCATAATTACAGGCTGCTCAATGTCCACTTCTGGTTTTCAGGTGGTGCTACAGGACAGAAGGTTGACATCAGATGAAACAGGCAAGTGCAGACTTACCTGTTTCAGACTGTCTGCAGGCAGACTGTCTGCAGAACTGTCAGTCAAAAGCTGGAGGTCGACAGACATTAGTGGCAAAGAAAGAGATAGATAGCCATAGAGAAAGAAATTTGGTTTAAAGTTTTGGTAAAAGTGCAAACACAGAGATATTCTGTCTTGGTTCACATTTCTGGAGGCATGCAACATGGCACCTAAACAACTGGGCTGCGATGAGTGTGTCACTAACACTAAACCAAAAACACACACAGCAGTAACGCAAAGGCAAGAGAAACAGTGGGTGGGGGAGTCTGGGAAATGGGGAAATAGAGAGCAAAGGGTGGAGTGCTATGACATAATACAGATGGCTCTCTCTTTGGGTCCGACATGACGTGGTTGCGTAGCCCCCTCTTTCTCGGGTCCCTGCCCCCACCGTTGCTCTGATCCCACACAAATCATTTAGCTCACTCACAGATGTGTGATGGTAAGCGCCGCCCTGCCAGAGTGATCATGCACCAAACAGAAACACCTCAGCCTCATCTGCAATCTGATACGACACACTCATCTATAGTCCATTTTGAAAAAAACAGTCTAGCCAAATTCCTTCCTTAACAACCCTCAAAACAGTGACTTTTCAGCCCACTAACTATAATTTAATTCCTCACACCCCTATGACACAATGATGTGGGCACAGAAATAGGAAACAATTCCAGTGCCAGTTTACAAGAAACAACAACATTTTTTTAAGATCAGCTTGCTCCAGTGATCCAGGTTTATGTGTATCTGTTAAAGTCTAAATATGCACTGTAGAGAGTCCAGCTTTGAGGAACACTGTGTGAACTTTCATCTGATACAGGTAGGAGTTGTGGATCCACTTTATGTCAATGTGACTCCAAGAACATGCCAGGAAATCCTCTCACCACCTCTTGAGTGCATAAATTCAAGCAGGAGATGACACAGGTGATACCTCACCAACACAGTAATTATCCTCAAGTGGTGGTCAACTCTTCTCAAGGCTCCTGTGACATTACATATGTGTTACCTTTGAGTTTTCTTTATCAGAAGTTACTTATTAATCTATAATGAATATCAAGATGAAACAAAAGAAAGCTACTGTGATTAGACAATAATATCTACAAACTGTCACTGGAATTACACTTCATTTACAGTTTCATATACAGTATTACTTATTATTAGAGCTCCCAACTTGTTTGTGTAACCAGCAACAACAAATGTCACCAACCACAGTGATGACTAATGTGGTGTAATTTAGTTATTCACATGATGACACAAACAGCTGGTGATATAACTTGACAAGGGATTTGAAGGGGCTCCTTTTTGTGATGTTTGCTGCTGGGTGGGACTCCATGTGTCGTATTCTACACCATCTAACTCCCAGAACCACATCTGGGGCTGATTCACAGTGAGCTGGCCCGGAGGTGAACCCAACAAGCTGAGAGGGACCTGACAAAGCTGATGGCTGTCTTCAGGTACTGTATCCTGTGAAAGTAAACATCAATCATGCCTACTACCTGGGGATAGGGTTACAGTGCTATGGCTATTAACACAGATATAGGTCACACACACAAATCAGATCAGTGTGCTTTTGTTATGTAATAGCAAACTGTTGTAGGCCTACCTCATCATTTGTGAAAGATAGCTCCATGTCCCTGGAGAGCCCTTGATAATGGGAAAGTGTAGCCTCTAAGGGCTGCAAGGGTCTAAGCAGGACACAGTAAATACTATTTTGAAAGTAAGTCTCATATTACCCATGTCGATTCAAAACTTGTCTGTAAAATCTTACAAATCATATGTGCAAAACCTTTTGCTAAAAACACAAATAGGATTTCCTGCTGATCTGAAACTATCAAAAGGTTGTTAACCTCTGTATCCTGCACTCAAAAGATAAACAAAAAAACAATGAAAAACAACAGACTCAACAGACCACAGACTCTGTCCTCAAAAATGGATGGCCTTAAGGGGATTGGGAGGGTACTGCTTGGTTCTGGCTCTTTGTTTTATATATTGTCTTTGAGGGGAAAAAAAGAAAGAAAAGAAACAAATCAATAGATATATTTAACAAAAAATGTTACCTGTTTCACATAACCCAGTTTCTCTTTGCTTTTCTCCTGCCATCCCCCACTAAGAAAGAGAGAGAGAGAGAGCAGCGGAGTGTATTGTTTGGCCCTCCTGTACTGACCCCCAGGGCCTAACATGAAGCAGATGTGGAAGGGAAGATACCCCTACAACAGTCATTTGGAGGTGCTCCACTCACTAGAGCCACATCCGGTTGATGCACTCAGACGCTGAACAGTCATTTCACACACACCCAGAGAGCTGTGTGTGCTTAAAAATGAAAGGAAAGCGTGTAAGATGATTCATTTCTTGGAAGTGCTAATATAATGAATGAATTTAATACCCAAGACATGTTGTGCAACTGATGAAAGTACATACTATCTTATAATCTAAAGCATGTTGTTCAGGCTGCAATGTTTCCTCTTGGAATCTAGCCAAAGATTAAGGTGTCTCCATCTCCATTCAGCTCTATCGCTCCATCACATCACATATACATCCATGTATTATGCCTCAAATATTCTGGTTTGTTCGTATTCTACCTGCTACTTTTTGTTATTGATACTTTATTTTCAGTTATGAGTGAAAATGATGGATAGATTCATTTGTTTTTATGTGACGTGGGTGTCAGACTTTGTTCAACTGTGATTGCCATAATTCTGTGGACCTGCCCACACTGAGGACACAGTACTTGTTATTATGGGTGTATCCTCATGAATATTTCTAACATTGTCACTGCTGTGACATCATAACCTGGTATTCCACTATAATGAGTGGGTGACAATTTGAGAATGTGACTCATTAATGTATAGCAATCAAGTACACAAATAACCTAACATACTACACCACTGAAGCGAAAAGTTAAAGTTAAAAGATGAAAGTTAAGACGAATCAAAATGTTGAAACTCCCTGAAATTCCTTGATTAACTGTGGCAAAACCTCGCTGTTTGCCCATCATTTTATATCATCGTAGTAGTTAAGGAACCTTTGATCTTTGGGGTGGATCTCATTGGATAACAAAGTCATGGTGCACAGGTAATTATACTTATTAATCCCTTAAGCCAGGAGAGGAATGCAGTTCTCTGGCTTCTGTCACTGGTTCTCACTCATGCACATTCACATCACACCTAAACAAACCTACATATCCTCACATTAAAAATCTCAAAGCTAACATGTGCAAGAATTTTTTTTATTTTTTTTTATCAAACTTGAATCAGCTGCTGTTGCCATGTACTCAACACTATATTTGATCTTCCTGTGTTATCAGATTGAGAATCACTATAAAAGGATATGAAAAAGGTTTATTAAACATTTTAAAACCAGCAAATCAGTGATACGCCTTTTTGCCACATATTCCCAGTAAAGTAATGCAGAATTTGGGTGTATGTAAGTAAACAGTTTTAAACCACATGCATTTTAATTAAAATCTATCAGTTACACTTCAACACTGACAAAAGATAAGAACCAATATCTTTATTGTAAAGTAATGCTCAGCAACTTTCACCAAGGCTTTTAAAACTCTATAGGCTCCAAGAAATGTATAAAATCAACATATTTTTCTGTTAAAAACGTTTTTTAATACATTTTTAAAGCACCCTTAGTTGTGTGTCCTTGGACTCTTGTGTTCTTACTTGTTTCACACGTTCAAAGAGCTATTAAACTCCTCATAAAACTGTGGGATGCTTCCTTTTGTTCACAGTGTCAGCAAATCTCGCTTCTTCTGTGCATGGATTCCTGGAGGACATGTGCCTTCATCTGCTGTGGTGTTTTGCCATAGTGTTTGCCTCTGGCTGCTCGCTGTTTCACCTGCATCTTTCTTAACTATTGGTCTGAGAGCCCATACTTAGTAATAGTAAACTGTCTTGAGGTTCTGTTTTACATACAAAGACCAGTGAGTTCTGTGTAGCATTTTCTGGGAACAAAGCAAGTTGTACGAACAATAGACCACTTGTAAAACAGTCCATCCCTGTTCTCCTTCATCATGCTCACATATGGTATGATGCAGTTTGGACAAAGCGAGGTCAGGCGTGTGACTTGGCGAGACGCTTACACATTCCTCAAGCAGAGACGTGGACAGTAAGTGGACATGATGTGGTCAGAAAAAAACACGAGGACCATTTTCAAAATACTCTGATTCTGTTTTTTTTTCCCTTTTTTTGTCATCATAGGTCTTCCTCCCTACACACTATCTCAAAATGCCTGTTGGTACCTATTCAACTGACATCTTTTACATGTTTTAAATATGCCAACCACTGTTCAAATGTACCTTACATAGATTATTAAACCATAGTTTATACAAGAATTGCCCTCAGATTTTATCTACTGCAAACGCCTGTTATGCACATGCAATAAATCCATATAAACCTGTCAGTTAGTTTCTATTAGTTGTTAATGCTCTAAATCGTGCCTGGTATTAGATCAGATGACCTTCGTACAGGGAAGACTGGAAGGAGTAGCAGTAAGCAATTAGGTTTAAAATGTACAGATAGGTGCATGACGTCAGTGCAGGGAAGCTGTTTCAGTTTCGATAACTTGGTAATACAACATAAGTGCTGTAACAATTTTGTAGTACAACTGTGTCATTCAGTCATTTCAGTTCAATCAATGGTTTTGTGATTTGGAATTTCACAGGACTGTCATTACTGTTACATTTCATCTGGGTGTATCTGTTTCATACCTGAGACTATAGCTGTTTGATAACTGCTTCCCTGGTATTTATTTAGGAGGAGTCTGAAATAAAATAATATTTTATAAAACAATAAAAAGCTTTCAGTCTAACGACACAGGCTATCAGGTAACAAATGTTCCAGAGTCCAGGATTTACTCAGAGGTGATAAGGAAGCAACCTGTATCAGGCAGGGTAGGAACAAAAGAGGTGAAGTAGCCTAAATATGGCCAAGTCGGTCAGTTTCTGTCCGTCCTCCTAGCTAAGTTTTACTTTGTATGAGATCATCAGTAGTTGTGTGAAGGTTATTTTTTTAAATTCCACACTGAGTACAGTTCATACTCCTGCACCTATGCAGAACAATTTGTGATTGTCCAAAACCTTTGCAGATTCCTTCGAAAAACAGGTTTACGCTACTTGAGTCATTGGATGTAAAAATAGAGGACAATAGTTTTTACATCAAGTTCTTAGGTTTCACTCCCTCTTCAACAGAACTTAGCAGCCCCTCCTGACAAAGGTGTGAGATAAAGACTGTATTTTGTACATTTAAACCTGGAAATGAGTGATACACAAATTAGGAAATAACTACATGATAAGTAACTTAAATATCAAGACCTTAGTAACACTGAGTCAAGGATTGACTACATGACCGAAATCCATTCACAAGGTCATTCACACTTTTTGGGTTGCTTTCTCTATAGTTTCTTCTCAGTGCCTCCCAGAATCCAAACCAATATCCTCTTTGTGGAGGGTGGAACCATGCAAAGTACAGGACTGCCAGACAAGTGGATGTATGGTGGCTAGCTTTTTACCACCTGGGCCAGTACAGTTTGAATGCATTGGCCAATGGGGCCTGATTCTGGTGGACCCGAGTGAGCCAATTTCCTGCTCACAGTGCATTCAGCAGATTACAAAAACAGCTTCAATTAATCCCTCACTCTGGGGATTGATACAGGAAACTGTTTCACACAGAAGCAGTGGATAAAGATAAGATGTCTAAAAATCAAGATTAGTTAAATAATCGGTAAACCCCATGGTCATTCCTAAACGAGTGTCAAAGGACACAAATATAATCTATACTTCCTTATTTATTTTTATTTTTGTGTTCTCTGTGCCACTGATGCAGTTGTCCAGGAATGAATATGCACTTAGTTCCTTCTTTGTTTCTCATTGCACTCATTCCAAAGGTAACTACACATTCATTCTTGGGTAAGTGGTACAGTGAAGTACAGTGCAATTAAATGTAACTCAGCAACAGAATATACATAGAATATTTAATGTAGAAACATATGTATAAAATTCTTACCGAAATATCACAAGTTTTCAATTAGATTAATTGAACAAAATCGCTTTTTTTATCTGAATGTTACTTTATGATATTCATCCTCTTCATCAATATTCCTGCTAAACAACGCAGGCTCTGTTTCATTAACACTCTCAGTCTCCATTCACAGGTTAAAAGACCAAATAAATGATGGAAGACATATATGACTGACAAGTCATGTGACAAATGTGGTAAACCCTCACCTATGGTTTTGTGTTTGAATGAAAGTCGACCAACTCTTGAATAACCGGTTGGTTGACAACTAAATGAATTAATAGGCACCTTTTCAACTTTGACAGGTAACGTGGTGAATACCTTTGAGGCTGCAGAGCGGCGTTGAAAGGACAGAGGAGCTGTCAGAGGAGGTGGGGCCGCCGCCTCTCCAGGAAACACTATTTAATGAATAGTGGGAGTGTGCAACGCTCGGGATTTAACACAGCACAGGCAGAAGCATCACTCCAACCGGAAAACTACAAGTCATTTTGTCTCGAAACAACTTCGGTGAAGCTTGAATCATGTGTGGTAAGTGTGTTTTTTATCGAGTTTACATCTTTCTTAAACTAGGAAGGAATAGCGCGTATTACGCACGGGCTCTGGACCGATGTCATGCTCAGTGACACAGCGAGGAATTCGCAGTTATCATATCATAAAGTTGGTTCTCATAGTTATTCTCTTCTGTTCTTCTCGTTGTATTAGTGGTGATGAAAATGTTGATTCTGAATTGCAACTGTTGGATAAACGCCTCTGTTTTCCAATCTGTGTGGATGCTCGAAGAGCTTTTAAACTGCTACGTGTCAGTGTTTTTACTCATGGGTGGACGACAGGACAGGCAAGTCATACCGGTTAATGTACACAGAAAAAATGCAAGAGATCGTTATTATCTCGCCCACATGAAGTGACGCAAATTTCCCAGCCAAAAGAACCGCAAGTTGACCCAATTTGCAATTGTCGCAAATTTTGAGAGCTCCCACACACACACACACCTGAAACTGGGACGTTTACGGCCGAGAGTAAATCTCAACAGTACTTTGGCCTTTCCTTGTTTCTGCAAGGAAGAGGCCAAGGCGGTGGGGAGTGTACAGCAGCCTGCCTATACCTGGCTGATCCAACACTGCGCGCAATGTGCGTCCTTCAATGGCCAGCTGTGTGCCTGTGGGAGCGAGCTGCCCGGAACATTCCTACACACACACACACACACACACACACACACACACACAAGGGCAGGCATATAAGGACTCATACTGTATAGTTTAGCATTAACTTGACTAACTCATATTTAATATAATGAGACTCCATTTCTGGTTTCTCCTCCAGCTCCCCTCCTTAGGTGAATATTGTAAAAATAAAACAGCTGGCAGCTAGGAGTTCCCTCATTGATGTTCTTATCTTAGCCATGTTCTTCGCTAATCGTCCATTGATAAACCAGAACGTGATCTTTAAAGTAATCTAACAACTACTGCTTGTTCCAGTTTCCTTAAACAAAATATAATAATGATAATGATGCCACTGTGCTCTCTGCAGTTGCGTAAACTCTGCCTACAAGGTTTGAGCATCTCATAGGATTCAAAGTTCTGTTTCTTTTTCTCCCCCTCTAAAAGGGATCTTTGCCTACCTGAATTACCAAGTGCCTCGCACCAGAAAGGAGATATTTGAGACGCTGGTGAAGGGACTGCAGAGACTGGAGTACAGAGGGTACGATTCAGCAGGTAAGACACTCAGCTTCACAGCGTTGCCACATACACACACACACACACACACACACACACACACACACAGACCATGCACAAAAGCTTATAGTACTCCTTGGCAGCACCTGTGTGTCATGTTCTTAAATAATGAAATCTAAGCAACATTTGACAGCATTCAAAGCATTAATTACTGTAATTAACCCTGAAATGCATGAATCTGACAGCTAGTACTGCACTCTCATGTTGGATCCTAAAGGACATGAGCACACCCTGGTTCTTTGTACTGGTTCTGCTGTACATGTGGTAATTTATTTTAAGGTCATATTCATAATTAACTTGAATGAAATGAAGATAAACTGGTATAGCAGCAAACACCCACAACTGCTTGAAAGAGTGAGGTGGGGGCTATGCAGCAACACCTTTAATCATAACACCTAAAGAATAACAAGAGACATTCCTTGTAAGCATTAAAGCATTTTAGCTACCACTACAACTAAAAACTACTTCAGTGACGTCTTACTAACATCCTGCCACCTGGAGATTTAATAATGTTCACACACAGACTTTGTGTTTGTTCATCCTATTTGAGCAAGATGGAGTCACACAGACAGACACACACCTACAATATTAACACCTCAGATACTAACAATAAATCCTGGATCACCTCAGATAAACTACCCATCTCCCTTTTCACAATGAAATTGAATTGTATGGGAGACTTAGTGCCTTTCTTAGCTCACTATAAAGTATCTGTTTTATTTCCTTGTTTGCAGGTATCGCTGTGGATGGCCCTAGAAAGTCAACTACTGACATCAACAGCAACAGCATCTGCTTGATCAAGAAGAAGGGGAAGGTCAAGGCCCTGGATGAGGAATTATACAGTGAGTTTATGCACATTTGATTCGCATTTCTGATGAAAATTTAGATTGTAATGTTTGTTGCCCTGTATTTAAATTTTGATATATTGTCCTACTGTCCTATTGTCCATTTAGTCGGTGAGAGTTATTTCGAAATCCTAATAATATAGTTGTTTTTTTACCTCATTTGAAAAAAAAATCCTAAAAAAGTCAAAAGCACTATGTCCCCCTTCATTAAACATCTTGTGCTGTATTATTTTGTCTTCAAAATTCCCTGCAGTCAAGGGACTTTTTTTTTATGCGTTAGCATTCCTTATAAGATGAGCTATTAAGTGTGAACTAATCACATAAACTCATAGTGACTTCATCATTCGTTAATGGTGAGCATCAGGAATTCATCCTGCATTAACTTGATGCATAAAAATCATCATAAATCCTTTAGTTAAGCATTACTTGTAAGTATATGATTTGTACACTTATTATGAAGTATTACCGTTGTGTTTTACTTGTTCAGAGAAAGACTCGCTGGACCTGGATGAGGAGCTGTGCACACACATTGGCCTCGCTCACACTCGCTGGGCCACACACGGAGAGCCAAGCGCCGTCAACAGCCACCCTCATCGCTCTGATAAGGATAATGGTAATAAGTACAAATGTACTTTGATGCATGCTCACATACAGTACAGTATATGAATGCATGTAAGACCCATGCTTTACCCACTATAGATATATGCAAAACATACTGTAGTAATGTCAATATAAATGGCTGTTTTATGTTTGCACTGAAACACAGAAGCTACATTTGATAATGAAAAAAAAGGAAAAAACAAGGTTGACTCTGACCTATAAATCTGACTTTATAAAGTTGTTAAAAAAGGTTAAGATGCTATATACCATTAATTAAAACATGTTCACACACGCTCTATTTATTTTTTATACCACCAAAAACAAACAAATATAAATGACATGAGTATAACAAAATAAAACAAACCTGCTCACAGAAAAGTGGTACATATTGTGGTTACCTAGGTGGATTGAGGGTCAGAAAAGAGTCCATGGAATGAAGACCAAGTGAGGTCGAGGGAGGCCGTGAGTCTAAACAGTGGCTCTGATTGGTTGTTTTCATTCAGGCCCGGTGGATTTTGCAAATGCAAATGCCATTGAGGCCTCTTTTCATGTGCCAGGATTCAATGAAAGTTTCATTTAACTTCATTTATTTATATCATCTGTATCTGTTTTAAAGCAAGGTTCCTGACATATAGGAGCATAAATGGACTCAGCGCACCCTTGACATGCCTTAGAATGTTAAATGAGTTATGCAAAATAAAGTCATCCTTCAGTTGTTTTATAAGTAGATTTCTCTTAGAAAATAAAATAGCAGTTCCTCGAGTAAGTGATGGTGTATTACAAGACTCAATCTCATCTGGGACGGTGGCCGCTCCTCTGGCTGGCCACAGCTGGAACATTCCAGAAAACCCTTGCTCTGGCATCACAGGCCTAATAATATTGTCAGAAGACAGGCACCTTCAGCTTTTAAAAGTGCACCTTGTACATTGGGGGAAGCAGGTTAGTCTAGATAAAGAGCATAATTATGTAGCCTTTTATTTTAAAGAAGGAGGATGTGAGGGAAATGAGTATGTTTTAAAATGTGCATTTATGGTGTAGTACCAGCTTAATAATATTATTAAAGAAAGAGAGATTGTCATCTTTCATAATTTTAAGCTTACCAATCTAGAGTCGAAACCGTCATACAGATCACACTCTCTATTCTAACCAAATATACACATAACTCTTTGTCATTAGTGTACCATGATCATAGGTGTGTCAGGCTTTAGACTTAAGTATGTATGCTCATAAAAGTCCAAAGTGTGAGAGTACATGTCACAGAAATGTTGTGCTACTAAGCAACTTATTTATGATTTATTAGTATACTACATTTGATAATAGGCCCATTATTACTTGGGTATCATTTATGGTAACTTATCACCTTGTTTCTTTGTGCCTTTTTGTTGTAAATTTGGCTGCTTATGCTATCCGGCTCTACCACGTCAGTGTGGTAATACCGGATCTGTGTTATTTTAGTTGCTGCTAATTACACTGGTTTGCTTTGCCTACATGCTTTAACTTCTTTACATAATAAAAGCCTGCCTTGGAATACATTTCAGTGCTATTTTTAGTTTGTTCAGACCTCAGACAAAATATAAGGAGTCTGAATCTGAATTAGCTTCATCAGGAGAGAGCATATGACTGGTTTATTATTACAACTTCAAGACAAGTTTTTGACCTTTAGCCCCTTCATGTAATCCATTGTCGCTGTCTTTTCTCAGAGTTTGTTGTCATTCACAATGGCATCATCACCAACTACAAAGAGCTGAAGGAGTACCTGGTAAGTCATCTTATCATCAGGAATTTCTCTTGTACAAACAAATGAGTTAGAATCTGGTTCAGTGCCATTTTCAACCCTGCCCTTCAGGTAAAGCTCATATTACAATCACAGGCTTCAGCTTTTTCTGCTCAGTGGCAAACTATTCAATCACTGTCTCTTTGAGTCATAAACACTATTATTATAATATGTCAATGTAGGTCATGTGGTTATGTTTACAAATGCACATTTTTGACTGTATAATTTACGATGTATATTCAGTTGGGTTGTTTTGCCTGTCCACTGCACAGGTAACCACTGTGACCTACAAAACAGCCATATCATATTTATGTATTTGCAAGAATTCAAAAAATATAAACAAATGAACATCATAAGATAGACAGAATACAATGACAAAATTTAAATCACTCCAGCTATCAGCACATCTATCTATTAAGACATTATTTAGTATTTCTGATTAACTAAGGAGGGACTTGCTGCTGCATTATGCTTGGGCAGACTTCATTCTGGACTGGATTATACAAACTTGTACCACGTAACTTTCATGTCATCCCTCTGCAAGATATAAAGATAAAGAAACACTGTTGCTTAGTAGGGGATAGTTTTTGTTGATGTAGGGAGACTTTTTTGTGACAAAAGCACAACTTTAAGATGACAATACCAACAGAGTCTGTTCAGACTAGACTGTTGCACATTAAACATTCAGTGTGAAATTACTTCATCGGCCCATGCATCTTTAGTGTGTAATATCATCACTTTAGCCAATAAAGTATTAAAGAGCAACCTGGTCGGTCAAGGACATTTTCATTTAATTAAATTAGGTAGTTGTTTACTCACAATGATATGAGACGAATAAGACTAATAATTAGATGGATGCTTAGCCAAAACTGTTAATTATTGTTTTGTTTCATGCAGACAATTATGGATTTCTGGCTTAAACTGATGAGGGAACCTCTAATTTTGACATTTGTTTTTACAGCAAACCCTTTGAATATATCAACAGCAGTTTGATTGATGAGAAGAAACCAGAATAAAATATTCAGGCGATCCTGCAGTCGTCCAGAATGACTGACAGTATGTCCTCAGTGAGTTTATATTCATAATAATAATGCAAACTGTATCTCGTTCCTTCCTCAGATCACCAAAGGATATGAGTTTGAGTCAGAGACGGACACAGAGGTCATCCCAAAACTGATCAAATATGTTTATGACAACCGAGAGAATGACAGCGTCACCTTCTCCACCCTGGTAGAGAGGGTCATCAAGCAGCTGGTGAGTAGCTCACACATAGCAACACCATGCCACAGAAACACACCAACCCACTTCACAGCAGCGCAGGTAGTGTTAGCTTGTTCGTCTCTGTTTTGTTGTAATATTGCAAGATATCGGGTGTTCACTTCCGTTTCTTTCTTATGCCAGTGAGACTTTTACGTCAGCTGCATGTTAAGGGATGGAATATTTTTTTAACTAGCTTTCTGGTAACTATGAAAGGTAGCATCATCTAGCTTAGCATCATAAAATGTGTCATCGACCGGTCATACACAATTAAACACACACTCATTTGCTCAATCTGCAATGGGTGAAACTGCTTAAATTTCCTGTCCATTACAACTCGGTATACCATCACAAAAACAGTCTCTATAGCAACCGCCCTAGCAGCATCACAAGTGACATCATCACTCGTAGAAACAGTGGGTCTTTCAAGGTGAAATTGAGCAAGCCTCTCTTTTCCATTGTGTGACTTTCGTACCTCAGAGCTTCACACTTTTGGCTGAAGCAAGTTCTCTTTCCTCAGGAGGACATAGGAGGCAAAAGCAGCCATTTTGGATTTGGAAGTAATGGGAACCAGATAGTTAGACCCACTAACAGCCTCACAACCATGACACCCTTCCCTCTCCTCCCTCTCCATGCTTATCCCCCCACTTTCAACACCACACACAAACACACTCATAGCCAGTTCAGCTTCTAACCACCACAGACAGCATTGCAGTCATTGCTTTCGAAACACAGCTGATGTTATACAATGGAGGTCTTATTTCTCCCCCCCCCCACTCCTACCGCTTCCCAACGCCCACCCACACCCCCACCACAACTAACAAACCCCACAGGGCCAGAAGAAACATTTGTTTGTGTTCATAAAATGTTTCTCTTAAAGGTTATTCTTTCCAAGAATACACAACTAGCTTTGCCGTTACATTTTCATGCTCATATATTGAGCTGTTTCTTCTCCTCTTCCCCTTCAACATTGCTTATTTCAGTCTTTTATATTGTAAACTCAGTGTTTCCTCTGGTTTTTTCCATCTCAGGAGGGGGCCTTCGCTCTGGTGTTCAAAAGCCGTCATTTCCCTGGAGAAGCTGTGTCCACCAGGTTAGTATACACATACACACACACACACACACTCTCTCTGCTCTGACATTTCACTTCATATTTTAGTCCAGTATATGTGCAGTGAGCCAGACCCATTGATGACTCAACCTTGTTGTTACCACTGTGAAGCAATACCAAATATGATTTTAGGAGACTCACATTATTCAGTCATTGTGGATTAACTTAGCTAACACCCATTACATGAGATATGTTGTGAGTCTGGAACGTGCCTTGCTTATCACAATAGCCAAATTGTGCTGTTTTTGCATACGCACGTGTGAATGTGTGTAGATTCCTGTCCGGCTGCATGCGTCAGTCCTATCTGTGTCTTAAGACCCAGGCAGAGAGGGGAGTAGAGCAGAGGTTGGATTCAGGTTCTCTCTCTCCCTCCTGGGCCTCTGGCTTCTGCGCCGCTGGCCCTACTCCCTCTTCTCTGTGACTCATTAACAAATAGACTAGAGAGTTTCCTGTTTCGTGTCCGGAAAATGCCCCTGCCAGAAAGACTCCTGGTTAATCACTTCTTATCATTTTATTTTACTTTATACCTTTCTTGGGTCAGTGACCCATCACGGAGGAGGGCAAAGGAAGGTTGCTGGAGATTGGGAGTAAGAGAGGGGAAAAAGGAGGGTAGAAGGGCAACGGAATGAAGAGAGATTAGAGGGCCATTACGGGTGGTTTATGCAAACAGGTTTTCCAGCAGTGACAACGTTGGCAAAGCTAAAGTCAAGAAACTTTGGCATCTCATTTGTCTATTGTGTGCTGAAGAACAGATTCTGGTAGCTGATATCAGTGTCAGTGTACAGCTTTGACTAAATTCATTATAGTGTTGTGGTTAATATGTTGGATAGTCATTACTGTCTCCCAGGAAGGAGGGATGGAGGAATGTTTGTAATTATCTAGTGATTCTAGTTACCACCCACCCTTTGTCAAGGCGTAGCCTCCCGGCAAGACTTTTGCTCTATACTCAGCTTCACTTACTTTGACTTTCTCTCAATCTGTTGTTCTTCCATTCTCTTTGCTTCTGCCACTCTGTCTTTAACTTTATCACTCCTTACTTTTCCTACATCCTTTTGCTTTGTGTCTTTCCCTCCCTAAGGGTAAATATTGTATTGGACAGCGACCACATGTTTCTGTTTGAATGCCTCCCTCCTCAAGCCCCACACCCCTTAAAACAACGAGTTATTTTACGTCAGCGTAGCCTGCCCCATAGAAAGGCTGAGCAGAGAGAAAAGAGAGATCAGACAGAGAGAAGACAATAAATAAGGAGAGGCCTTCTGGATACACAGTTTCTCAAGAGCTGGTGTCATAATAATTCACCATGATGAGGTTTTGTTTTGCCTTGCCACAAGATGTCTGTGTAAAGGTTTCATCTATTTTAAGGTTAGTCTCCTCACACCCTCCTCCCTCACCTGTCGAGCTACTCCTGGTTGCACTCTTTCTGTCTCTACAGCCAACAGGAGAAGCCCACATGTAATCAGTAGCCAATGAGGAAGCAGTGACTCGGTCCAGGAACTGGGAACAAATCCTAGAAGGATGTAGACGAATGGAGGATCGGTTTACCTGTCTAATGTTCAAGATTAGACAGAGATTTATAATAAGTGGGAGGTTGTCTGAGCTCCTGTCTGCACATGGACAAACTCAACCTCAGGGTTGTGTAGAAAATGTTGTAAAACTAATTTTACAGTGATTGAATTTGAGGTGGTACAGGGGAGAAAATATGAATAGATGGAGAAAAAGGGAGGAGAGATCATAAGTGCCAGGAAACTTCTGTTTTGTTTGGAATAATGCAGTAGGATAGGATGTCAGATTACCTCAACATTCATACACTTACAAAGCACCACGTGAGAGTGTGTGTATCTGACACTGTTGTGTGTCCACAAAGCCTAATCCCCTCCTGTCTCCCACCTTTCTCTCCCTCCTGCTCTTCCTCTGTGCCCCGCTTCATTCTTGTCCCGGCAGGAGAGGAAGTCCATTGCTCATTGGTGTGCGAAGCGAGCATGAGCTGTCGACCGAAAACATCCCCATCCAGTACAACAGTGGTGAGCTCTGTTTCACTCTCTGTCTGCCATTATCCGCTTACACTGCACCCTAAATCTCTGCATTAATGCAAGCTCACAGACAGACATACTGTAGGTGCACACATTTCCCCAGCAGCATGTTAAGCCTTGATACATGAACTGAATGTAAGATTTATACACCTGAGAGAGTATTCGTAATTCATCAACAATTTAAATGATCTGGCTGATAATTACCTGACAGTATCTATGTCTCCGAGCTGCATAAAGATACCCCAACAAGTTTATTGTCCATAAGTTTTCAAATAAAGGGATTCTGACTTTTGAAGCTGCTTGCTTAGTCACAACAAAGCAAAGAAGTATGAAAAATGTAATTATATAATTATAATTAAATAACAACAACAAGACCACCCTAATAGGAAGTTATGACATAGTGCCCTGATTTCTGAGTGTTTTGAACAATTATATTTATTTACTGTTCCAGAACTATACTGTAGAAAATATGTCAGTTATCACATTGTGTGTTACTTACACGTCCTGAAACCTACTTTTAATGACATCTTTAAAGGATAAGGCAGGCGAAAACCCAAACCAACAATGTGTGCATTCTAAACACTTTCTGACTTCCCCAACCTGTCTTTGGCTCTCGGCCCCATTCATTCCTACTGAAACTTTAAATCTTGAAAATGGGTTGTAAATAAATATTTTCCTTTTGGAAAAAAAGACTAAATAATTTACTAAAACAGCTAGGCGCTGTAGTTTTGAGCAAACTCAAACAAGAGTAAATATTTGTTGGGGACTATTTTCAGCCACTGATATGTGCTAGAGAGTATTTACAGCAGCAGGGCTGTGTATGTGGAATCGAGTCAAAATAAACTACAGTGCGTATGTTTATCGTAATGAAGGAACACGTCACCCAGTGAAAGGGTGGGACTCATTGATGTGTTTTAATAATTAACAGAGCTCTATGGCACAGAAATCAGGCTAAACAGGTATGTTTGTTTGTGTATTCATTGTTGGTTTTAATCTTTTCATAAAAATATAGACCAATATAGACCAGACATATACTCTCATGGATCATTACGAAATTATGCTAAAGGTTAAAACAGTATTCTGCAAGATTTGCAGAGCCTTGTACAGTAGCCTCAAAACATGTATCCTTTTCTCAGATGTCCTGTAACTGACTCAGTCAAAGAGATGTTCTTAGCTAACAGTAAAAGTAATACAAGATGTTTTGTGGTTCTCTTATGTATTGTGAAATAATTCTTTTAAATTTTCTTAGAAAGCCATTTGTGTTGCCAGGTTTTTCTGTGGGTATTGATCCTTTGGAAATTAATTTGGATACTTCCTGCAAAGAATGTGGTTCTCAGTCCCAGAGTTCCGAGCAATACAGAGTTTCTTTTGTAATCTTCCGGATACTCTTTATAATGAAAGCATCTGTCACTATGATTATTCACTGTTAGCAACAACTTGATTGCTTGTTGGATTTTTGCTTCTTTGTCTGTACTGTATGTGGGACTTTACTGTCTTATCAGATAAGATATTATATATTATATTATGGTTCTTAACGGATCACGCGGGACTACTAAGTTCAAAGGCCCTAAAGGTGGTTTGGGGCCAGAAGGGAACAAAGCAGGGTGTGTTGTTTTAATAGTAGAAATTGTCGTCTCTTTTTATAACATTTTATATAATGATTAATATCTCTGTTGTCACACATCTTCCTTAAAAGCCCATTGTTGTTTAAACAATATAAAACATCAGAGAAAAATGACGAAAAGAAGACCATATTGACTCTTTGTCATGCCAGTGTGTACAGTTTGATGACAAAAGTTACAAATTCTGTCTGATTACAAATAATATTCACTGATGATTGCCATCAGGTAGTAACCAGTCACATCAGTTTCAAGTCATGTTCATTTGTTAACATACAGTGATGTGGTCATTTCTTTCTGATCATAATCTGTTCTTGTGTTATCGCTTGAATATTCCACCTCAAACATTTTCTGATCTTATCATGAAATCAAAATTACACGACATGAAAAACCAATTTCCACAGCAGTGACCCGACTACATCTGGAAGTTGGGAGGAAGAATTCATGCAATGAGCACATCTTGATTGTTTTAGACACTCAAAGTCACTGTGCGACCTCTGACCCTTGACCTCTGACTTTTGACCCTGTAGCTCACTTTAAGGAAGGGGTCCAGGAGAAGAACAGCCATAACCGTCCTGACGGCTCCAAGGCCATCAACTCTGTGGGGGATGGCAGGGCTGTGGAGTACTTCTTTGCCTCTGACGCCAGGTAAGATACCAAATGTCTGTGTGTTTTGATGTGAATCTAGTATGGGAACATATCATTGAATTCTCATTTGTCATTTTATTAATGTCACTGACTTCTCCCCTGTCTCTCTCTACCATATATATACAAAGTATGACTAAAATTAGTCTAAAATGAAACAAGTTCAGTGCCTTTTTTAAACATCAGACCAGTGGACATCATCATCAGTTCACTTGTATACATCTTCTCTGTACCCACAGCGCCATCATTGAGCACACTAACAAGGTGTTGTACATGGAGGATGATGACATCGCAGTGGTGACAGGCGGCAAACTCTCCATTCACAGGTTGAAACGACAGGTTGGTGAGGATCCAGTGAGGGCAATCCAGACCCTGCAGATGGAGCTGCAACAGATCATGAAAGGTCAGACAATAGAGTTAAATAAAGTTATTTGGTGGATATGAGAACAATACATTGGTTTTATTTTATTTTATGCAAGTAGTAGTTTGAAATTTATTTTATTTTTTTTTAAAGAACACCAACATAACAGCGTCTAACAAATCCTACGGATTATATTGAGAACATACTGTATGCAAGTGTTCTAGTTTGTAAAGTTATACTGACTCGCCCTCTGCTGGCTGAGAGTGAAAACACAATAGTGTTGTCAGACTGTTCCAGCACAGACCTTACCTCCATATACCTCTGTTTTCTGTCTTATCTCTTCAAGGGGAAACATTCACAATTTCCCCATATATCATGAGGAGTATTGAGCAGTTAGTCTGATCTATACAGATGTGCTCCTCCCTTTCCAGGTAACTTTGAGGCCTTCATGCAGAAGGAGATATTTGAGCAGCCGGAGTCAGTTGTCAACACCATGAGGGGCCGGATTTGTTTTGACTCCAACACAGGTGACTAGTGATCTTACAACCTGCCCTGCCCTTTAAAGTTTCAGGATATGTGGGGCATCTTAACCCCTTTTTTCAATATTAGCAAGAACTTGGTTTATTTGAACAAGGTTGGACAATTTTGACACACATTTATCTGCACATTACCCCATCTTCCTATTTAAATACCCACCCATATCTTTCAGCATTATAACAGAGTAAACACCACTAGTACTAATAAGCATGAACACATGGAATGATTTCAAAGATTTGAACTTGGTCATAGTTGCCTAATTTACTTACTAATATGTACTAGCTATTAGTTGTAGACAATATGCAAGCTAACATGGCATTTAATTAGAAGATTTGTTCAGATTGTGTACAGTAACTAATATGACTCTCATCCAATGAGGACCTGAAACATGCAGTGAATCGGCAGTATACTGGTTCACCTAACGTGGCTTCTGTCTCCTCAGTGATTCTTGGAGGCCTGAAGGACCACCTGAAAGAAATAAAGCGCTGCAAACGGCTAATCGTGATCGGCTGTGGCACTAGTTTCCACGCTGCAGTGGCTGTGAGTAGAGTTATCAAAAATTCAGTTTAGCACAATGATGATCATTTTGTGAGAAGGTATCATTAGCAGTAAAGTTCAAGACCTGAAATTGCTGTTTGTTTGGAGGGTGGTGATGGTGAAATTGCTGCTTTTGTTTGCCTAACTTTCAGACCAGACAGATTCTCGAGGAGCTGACAGAGCTGCCTGTCATGGTGGAGCTGGCGAGTGACTTCCTGGACCGCAATACACCTGTTTTCAGAGACGATGTTTGCTTTTTCATCAGCCAGTCAGGTGAATAACCCATTCAAAACCTGTATTATCGCCTTCGACAGTGGCCTTATTGTGCTGTATTCTTCACTGTAAGCATATCTTTTCATTCCCTCTGTTCCCTCAGGAGAGACAGCAGACACCTTGATGGCATTACGCTACTGCAAGAACCACGGTGCTTTGACAGTTGGTATAACCAACACCGTGGGCAGCTCCATCTGTAGGGAAACAGACTGCGGAGTCCACGTCAACGCTGGGCCTGAGATAGGAGTGGCTAGCACCAAGGTACACTATGGATTATATTGTACATGCCGTTTATTTATAACATCTTTTCAGAACCTTTTCTGAATTTGGCAACAGCAATATGCAAAACAGACAAGTGCAACACTTTGCATTCAATATCATGATAGGATTCATGTCTTTATAGGCTTCATGATAACACAGAATTTATAAGCGACATACACTGTTCAGCACAGCTTAGGGTTATATGAGTGTTTCTTGTGTATGTGATCCAGGCCTACACCAGTCAGTTTGTGGCCCTCGTCATGTTTGCGCTGATGATGAGTGAGGACAGGCTCTCCCTACAGCCTAGAAGACTGGAGATCATCAACGGCTTCAGGGTGCTACCAGGTCAGTCCAACAAACTCCAGTAAATCACAAACACAAAGCCTTTGTGAACATGAGCACAGAGCATCATCGCCACTGACAAATCAAGCTAACAGAACTACAGTATCTTGTGTTTAAAAAATGTGCACTCATTTTCACACTGTTATAATAATACCTCCATCTCCACGTTACTCATTCTTTTACTCTCCTATAGAGCTGATAAAGAAGGTGTTGTCCCTGGATGAGAAAATCAAGGCCATTGCCAATGAACTTTATCAGCAAAAGTCTCTTCTGGTCATGGGCCGAGGTTTCAACTATGCTACCTGCCTCGAGGGGGCACTGGTGAGTTGAGAATGCCACAGTAGTCTGCCAAAACACTGCAATTCACTTCCGCTTTGTCTTCATATTTTATGAGGACAAAGCATTCGATGAAATAATAGAGTCGTCATGTTTTTGAGTAGTGTGTGTTATGTTAATATTTAGGAGAGTTTACTGAGCTCGTTTTATTCTTATTATTCTAATGCAGAAAATCAAGGAAATCACATACATGCACTCCGAAGGCATCCTGGCTGGGGAGCTGAAGCACGGTCCTCTGGCACTTATAGACAAAGACATGCCAGTCATCATGATCATCATGAAAGACGCCTGCTACACCAAGTGCCAGAATGCTCTGCAACAAGTCACTGCCAGATCGGTAGGTCCTGGTAAAGCACATTATACATGCACTAGACCTGCAGCCACTTAAACACAAAGACATTGACACAGGCACCTTAACACACATATGTAACAAAATGAAGTGACCGACTGATTAATGTTAACGTTCTTGCTTGTGACGCTCTCTCCATCAGGGACGACCGATTATCATTTGTTGCCAGGACGACCCTGAGATGACTAAGAACGCCTACCAGACCATCGAGCTGCCACATATTGTGGACTGTCTGCAAGGCATCCTCACTGTCATCCCCCTGCAGCTTCTCTCCTTCCACTTGGCTGTCCTTCGAGGATATGACGTAAGTAGTCAACACAATCTTTCACTCAAGCTATCTGTGCAAATTCTCAGTCTTTATGAAGAGACTTTATAACTTAAAGGTCCAGTGTGTAACATTTAGGAGGATCTATTGGCAGTAATGGAATACAATATGTATAACTATGTTTTCATTTTTGTATAATCACTAGAAAATAAAAACTGTGGCAATACCTACAAATGATACCGACAGAAGGTAAAAAAAAACTGCAGTTCCCTAAACAGCCACTTGAGGCTGGATACAGAAGTGAATCAATCTCCCGAAGTCCCCATATTAGAATTCCCAATTTTACAACCTGGAACAAAAAAAAACAGTTTTGGTAGCTAAATTCCCCATTCATAATAACTCTATGGGGGATGAATTTTTAAATAACAAACCCATTTAGATTATATCAAGGCTTAGAGTTATGCATTATTAAGGATGTTCCAACTTTGAGTGACAGGTGGGTCACACGCAGCTGTTTTCAGTATCCAGGCTTCATTCAGTATGCCTCAGCTCCACCCATGCTCCACATCTTTTCCCATTTTTGGATTAGCCGAGAGCCTGCCAAGATGGTGACAGCCAAAACTGACCACACCGAGCTTCACAACAGCTCTTCATAAACCTATGTTATGGGTTTTCTATTTTTAATTATACAGTCTGTGGTTTTTGTTACCTTAGAATGAGCTGTTTTTTATCTGCAGAAACTGTGGGTTGCCTTCAGCGGAGGCCGCCATGTTGAGCCACCATGTTTCTACAGTAGCCCAGTCCTTAATAAGACAAAATCCACTTTTTGATCTATTGGGGCTCATAACTGTTCCGTCTAATACTGATGCCTTTATATAAGGTAGGATTGCCCTTGAAATCAATGAAACGAAGTGGATACACTACCGCTTTTGTGCACAGTGGCCACCAGAATCAATGCCAAACGACAGATTACCTGTAGCAGCTTTAATTATTTATCATTTGATTATTTAAAGGTCAGTAAACATTGTTATGTCAGTGTCAAGACTGAAAATCTTTTAGGAATATGACATTTAAATTCACATATATTCGTAACCATCTTGCGCTTGTATAATTTGCTATTCAAATGCTTTCAGTTATATCTATTTGTATATGGCTTTGATATTGTTGCATATTAGCACTTGAAGCAGTTCAGTCTATTTGATGAAGTTGATGTATTTGCCTGATTCTTGCAATTTGTGGGTTGTATCCACATAGTGGAATGCACTTACTGTAAGTCACTTTGGATAAAAGCATCTGCTAAATAAATGTAATGTAAAATTTGTTTTAATACAATGCTACTGCACTGTAGGCAGTACAACATAAAATGTATATTTCAGTGTGTCTTTGATGTAACAATAATTATGAATATCAAAGTATAATCTCAACATTTCAGCAGAATTTCATTTACATGCAGCACAAGACTCTGGGAGACTATTTATGCCTGCAGTTAATTAATTATTAACATTCTTTACTGTGGTGGAGACCAGCTTACCAAGCCGCACTTGCTAAAGCCGTATGTGTATCTATGTGTGTGTGGGCAGTGTTTCACTTTGAAATGTTTTGAACGATTGCTTTTACATACGCGTAAACCAATCTGTTGCCTTAAAAGACATCTCTCTCACCAATGTGTACAGACACCAGGTCTTTACACAGTTTACACAGTTATGGCATGTGTAATATCTTTCCACTCCTGACTTGTCTTATCATATATATAGTGACTCAGGGATCAATGTGTACATTGTTTTTTTCTTGTTACACCTTTAGTAGAGCTGATCCCGTCTGTAGCACCATTTCTTATCTACCTGAACTTGTTAATGTGTCTTTGTTTAAACGTGGGAAGGGAAGTGCATGTTTCCTAGTTTAAATACAGTGAATGCACTTTATGTGACACAGCACTTAAACCTAAATACAAATGGCACATGTCTACCAGTGTTATATCAAGTAATACAAAATATGTACAGTACAGCCACAGCCCTGATCAAACTGCTTTCTCTTTTTCCAGGTTGACTTTCCCAGAAACTTGGCCAAGTCTGTGACCGTGGAATAATTGCAGTTTGCAAAGCACAGGAGAGGAGAAAGGAGGCTCATAGATTTACAGTGCAATTGTACAATTGAAAGTTTTATTATGTGTGTGTGTGTGTGTGTGTGCGAGCAGATGAAGGTGTGAGTGAGAGAAAGTGAAAGAGGGAGGTATACGGTACAATGACTTTATAAAAACAAAAGAAATGTGAAGTCCGGCCAATACACTGCTGAGGAAGTGCCAGTGCCATAGAGGCCTCGCGGAACAATCTATGAAAACAACTTTCACACATCCAAAGCAACATGCTGTGCCTTTTGTCTTATCTTGAGTTGAGCCAAAAAAAACACATAAAACAGGCTTAACAGAAAAGCATTGATATGGTATATTGAAGTGTTTACAGTTGTGCAATATGGGGACCAAACGTGCATTATGAATGTACACACTATGGTGATTAATTCTCTTCTTGTTTTATTAATTTTAAATCTATTGGGGCCTTCTTACCTCTCTTTGCATAATGGGAAATGTAGGAATTTAACTGTTTAATTCCAGAGAGTTTTCTGAGTTATGAATATCTCAATATTGTATATTTTGTTGCACATTCATGCCATCACTGTGCCTGGTGGGTCATCATTAACCCATAATTTAAATATTTCTAGCAAAAGTTCTTCAATCTGTCATATTATTACTTGATTCTCTTAAAAAAAAATGTTCCTTTTTATTGTTTTAATTTTAATTTAAAATATATTTTATTTCTATTCTGTTTAACAGAATTGCAATTTCCAAACTCAGTTCATGGTAGAACAGGAGCCTTTTTTCCAGATTTTCTTTATACTTATTTGTGTCAAAGGGTGGAGCCTTTCCACAAAAATACATGAGAATTATTTAAAGAGCACTCATGCAACAAAAAAATAATGTACCACGACTTTCAATAATACTTTTGTTTTGTCTGTCATTTGTAAGGGTTTATAATAAAGATTATATTCTGTATTTATCTGATTTTTATTTTATAGGGGCTTAAGAGAGGGTTTGATTTATATCTTTATGATTGTATTTTATACTGTATGTTTTTTAGACATCAACTGGCACTATCAATCAATAAATAGATGAAGCATTCTATTCACTGTGTGCAGTCCTTATTTCTCTTTACCTGCAATTGTTTGTTGTAGTAAATAAAATCTGATTTTGATACTTTATACTAGTTTGTTTTTATATTACCATTATGAGGTGCATAAAAAAGGACTAACTCAGTCTATGGATGCGTATCTAAGATATATTGCAGATAAATACAGTAGAATATAATTGTATATTTTACAATTCCCTCAGACCTCAGTTTGCTGGATAGTTCACCAATTTAGTATGCTACAATTGTGCATCCTCTGCAGAGGTGGGATGTTAACATAGGCACAGGGGAGTACTTCCATTTTCTGCTACTTCTGCTTAAAGAAATGCTACAAAATTATAAATCATGAGGCACTAAGGAGGCAAATAGTTAAAATTAGTTCTTCTACCAGCTATAACAGTAAAATATGATTTACATGTTAATGCACCAAATAATAATACAAAACTATACCATGACTCACACTGACAGTGGTGATTGTGTTGTATAATGTGCATTTTAACTTTAACTTTTACTTGTAATAGCCTATACTTAGATAAATTCTGTATTTTGTGTTTTACTTACTCCAAATAGCCTTACTTTTCGTGAAGGAACTGATTAGTTATCCCACCACATATATTTAAACTGATAGTTATAAAGAGGCAAATTAAAAAAAAAAAAAAGTTTTTCACAAAGTTTTTGCGGAGGAGAAAAAAAAAAAAGAAAAAAGTTAGCGCCCACGTAAACTATGCGTGATGACGTCACCCGCATGCTGAGGGGGTACTTGTCTTGTTGTGGCGTTTCCCTTCCTCCGCACCCGTCCCTCTCCGTGCTGCCGCTGGAGTTAGCTGGGGGAAAACTGGAGGCAGGTCTATCTGTCGTGACAGCCCGTCCTACGAAACTTTTCCGCGTCTAGGCTGTGCCCGAAAGACGGAGACAGTGTTTTATCTGTGTTTTCGATGCATGGGAGTGCCCTGGGAACGGCGAAGGGAGAAGGTAGGTCTCGTTGCCGCCGCCGCCGCCGCCGCCTCTCTCCTCTGCTGTCCGTCGGTCCGTCAGAGCTTTCAGTTCAGCCCCCGGCCCGACTACCGCATTGCTGTCGACAGAAGTGAAAAAAGACGGGGAGTGTAGGCCTAGGTAACTTTGTAACCCACCAAACGCGACGTGGATTTAACCGGCATTTGTGTTGGGGGGGGGAGGTTGTGAGTGAACCGTGGATTTCTGTTAAACCACCGAGTGCCAGCGGTGCTGCGGTGTGTCACATACACGGGTGACTTCATACCTCTCTCTCTCGCTGTGTGTGTGTGTGTGTGTTGTGTGTGTGTGTGTGTGTGTGTGTGTGTGTTAGAGTAGTTAATGTGGGCATTATAAAAAATGATGAGTTTCACACCTATGTTCTTCCACAGGGCGGTCAGTGTTGCACAGCTCACCCACAGACCTAATACAGCACGCTGATGTAACTACAGCCAAATGAATGACATGTCTACAGGCCGAGTATGCTCAGGGTTTTTAAAACCAAATACGAAAACAGCTGTGGATGCAATGACCGCTAACGCTAGTGCCATAGCTATTTCCAGCTATTTTATTTGGCATGGTGTGTCAGAGGCAAGTTCCAGCTTGTCAACAAATCAAAGCACCATGAGTACACGAGATTAGTCTTGTCATGGAAGTCTGAAGCATGTCAAAGCACAAACAGGGTGGCATTGAGTTGTTTTAGAGTGCAGTTGGATCATACACTGTACGAGCAACACGTGGTACTAGCAGCCTTTTTTTTTCTTCCATTAACACATCTTCAGCATCCTTCATCCCCTTCAAGAGACTGGTCTTAACAGTCTCAGCAGACATCTCTTGTGCAGCAGCAGCAGCAGCAGCCTGGATGTAGTTTTAGCCTTCCCCTGTGTGTTTTGTAACTGATGAGAGGCTGAGTCTTCAGGCCATGCTAATCATTGTGGCCAGCTCACTGACTCCCATCCAGCTGCCAACTCAGAGCCAAGGCCACGTCAGACCCCAATGCTGGGCTGACTGAACTGGGCAGTAGTGGTGATGAGCTTGGGGTTGAGGATGTTTGTGTGAAGGTCATTTCTCTTCTTCTTCTTCGACTCCGTGATAATAGAAGTGTTGAAATGAACCAAATCGCATCGCTTTGTAAGTTAACTTTGTACTGAAATGAATGAAAAATTGCCTAAATAAAAAGGGTGTATGTTGTATATTGAGGCTTTTTGTCATTTTAGGTCTGGAATTGTTCTCTTTTCTGTCACTTCATCCTTGTGCCAGTTTATATGTGTTTGATATTTGATGTTGCACGTGTTGCAAGCTAATCTCAGTTGCCTCAAATTCAGTGAAATTAAAAACACTAATATTAACACACTGATATTGGAGCAACTGTAGCTCAGTTGGTATCTCGGTTGAACAAGGCAATCCTTGATAGTCGGGTTTGTAGTTTGATCCCAGACTCCCTTTGTCCACATGTTGAAGTGTCCCCAGATCAGTGTGTATGGGGGCAAAAATTTATTTTGGGCTCTATGAATAAAACTGACTTGACATGAATTTTATGTAATATTAAAAACCAATATTTAAAAAAAAAAATATATATATATATATATATTTAAATAAATTACACTTTCTTCCCATTTAATCTTCAGTGTGTCTCTCTAGCACAATATAAATGAAAATGCACTTACATTGTACCGGCAGGCTGTCTCTGCAGTTAAAGTGCTCTTGCATTTAGCCTTAATGATGTTTGGGAAGCACACACTGGTTAATTACAGCAATTCTCAGAAGAAACGTCTGTGATCAGCCTGTTTGTAACTCTGGCAGTTAACTATGCAGTTAATATTGTGACTGATAAGGTGTAAGGTGTAAAGTTATTACACAGTTAATGGTCGGCCCTATGGTTGGTATATGATTTTTGTGGTATTTTGTCATTATATGATGTCCTCCTCTTAATGATGTGTGGTAGTTTATGGTCTAGAATTTAATTTTTATTACCCTAAAATGATATTGTAGAGAGGGAAAACGGGCCGTTACCAATATGGCGTAATAGCATAATTTTGTAGCTAGAATGAAAATAAATTTTTGCACCAGTATGACTGCAAAGGTACTCAGAAAGCTGCTTTCTTAAACAAATAACTCTATTACAGAATATTTAATTATTATGTCATTCTTTAACATGTTAAATAATTTAACATATCGGCTACATGGTCAACCAATTCTAGAAATGAACACTGAAAAAATGAAGGATAGGTAAAATAAAACAAATAGTTAAACATCAGTACTGTAAAAAACAAGACTTTTTACATTAAATACTGGGAAAAAACATAATGCATTTGCATTATTTTACATTACATTTGCATATCGGATGAAGTATAAACTGACACGTTGGTCTATAGGTCAATGTCGGCTGATAATATATCTAATAATAATAATAGTAATACTGTCATTGCTAAGGTCAAGCAATGTGATCATTTTTTTTACTAAATATGTCAGTAGTGGTATCAGTAGTTAAGCTAAGTTAAGTGTTTTTGTTGTGTCTTTATATCCTATTAGTCTTTGATTCGTCCCACATGTAGCCTACCTGCAATAGCCTAGATTTCCTTCGAGGGAATTAACCTTAGTCTACACTAATTCAATCCCCTATAAATTCAAACAAACTCCCCAATGCCTGCTGGCCAGCCCAGACCTATAACAACTGCCTGCTGGTGTTTGTCTGGCTTTCTGAGCTTACATGCAATTTTCACCTCAATTTGCCTGTTTCTTGTCAGTGTCCGTATATCTGTGCTGAGTCAACTCTACATTTAGCCCATGTCGTGCGTAGCTTGGCAGCAAGTGAAGGCTTGTACATAATGCTGAAATTGGATTTTGGTTATGATTAATGGCCCCTTCATAGTGTTCTTCAGCTTGATGTGTGTGTGTGTGTTGTGAATCAGTGCACCCAAACGCTGAGGTAAAAAAAATGCTGGAGAACAAGTGCCTCTGTTAGCCAATGCAGCCTCCAAGCTAAAGTAGCAGCACGTCTATTTCCCTCAGAGGCAAATGTGTTGCTGGATGTTTGTTGCACAAAGTGTTCATGTGCTGTGTTGAATCTGTGGCCTAGAATCCATGCTGCCAGCATGTCAAGGAAAACTTAATTTTTATTCTAACTGAGCAGTGGAGGTATCTTTGAAGAGGCCACAGGGAAGATGGAACAAACCAGAAAAAGTCAAAAGGGTGAGGGAATGTCAGAAGCATAAAAGAACGACAAAGGAAGACAAAGCCAAGGAAAATAGAAAGAGTGAGAGAAGCACGGAGGAAGTAAAGGTCTTTGCAGCTCTCTCCCCTTGGGTGTAGTGAGAGAGCCAGCTGGACGTACATGTGAGAAGGAGGAGAAAAAGCCGGGGAGGCAGAGGAAGAAAGTAGATGAGGAGAAGGATTCATTTTTCAGAGTAATAGTGCGGTTGCACCAGACCCGCACCTACTACATCTGAAGGCATATTTCTGTGTGTTTTACAAAGCAATGCAGAAAAGAGAAAGATGGCATCTTCAAAAGAGATTGAAAACCCGGTTTATAAAAGAAAAAAACAAACCAACAGGAAATAAACCAAAGAACCAAGATTACAAACAGAGACTCTGTGGGAGTAGATAACACAATCAAATGAAGATACACTGTAAACATGGTGGGAAATACCTGAAAGATACACAAAATAACAAGGGAAATGAAACTGAAGGAATGAAAATGAAACTGAATGAAGAAGGGAAGTGGGAGGGTTTGTATATAGTTTGTGTATTTGTGGAAGCATATGCTGATGTGTGTGTTTGAATGATCTTATATCAAATATGTTTTGATACAAGATAATAATGCATGTCTAAATGGAAATGTATTTTTTTATCAAATTACTCCTAAATCGCTGGACTTTAAGGCTCGTTTTGCCATTAAAGCTGCAGTAGGTAAATTGAAACATACACAATGTGAAACCCTCCGAGTCTCTCTGGCGGCTGTTTTCAGTAACCAGACTGTATTCAGCCCGCTCCACCCACCCACGCTCTATGTATTTGCCCATTTTTGGATTAGCCAGGAGCTGGCAGTCAAAACTGCCAAGATGGGGACTACCAGAGCCACCGTACTTTGAGCTTCACAATCGAATGTAGTGACAGTTTCAGCAAGTATGACAAAGTCCAAGTTACCAACTGCAGCTTTAACTGATCAGACTACTGTTGTCCTTCTTGAGCTTTTGCACCAATGCATATATGAAACAATATATTAGTTAGGCTGCAACAATTCATTTATTGATGCTTGTTAATAACTCATTTATTTTTTTTCTTTAATCACCAGTCATAATGATTCTGCTACTACTACTAATAATAATAATATAAACTATCAGTTAATTTGGAAATAATATATATAGTCTGTGGAACACCTATCACCTTCCCAGCCACCTTAACAGTGCGGTTCAGGTGTTTTTTTTTATCCTTTCTGTTCATAATTCTTCCCTTTTTCCACTTATCCTTTCAATCTGAAGGCAATAACAGTTGAGTCAGTCAGCTAACAGTTGGTCCTCTACTCACTGATGTATCTTACTGCTCTCTCACTGCACGTCTTTTTGCTGCTGTCAAAGCTGAGACTGAGTAGCTTTACCATTCAAGAAGCTTGAGGTGTCTTTTTTTTGGCTCTATTCGATTATAACCTCTGCCCTGCTGCTCCTGTCTTTTCAGCACTTTATCTCTCTGACCATGAAAACCCAGCGAATGCATGTGTCCTTGTAACCTGTTAAACAGAAAGCAAAAATATCAGACTCCATTTAACCTGTGGCTGTTTTCTTAAGGAATGAAACAGCCATGACTGCTCACTGTTGCATAGCTACATAATTGTGTGTCCTCTCCCACACACATACACACACACACACACACACAGAAACCGTGGCCAAGAATAATACTCCTCCACTTTCTACCTGAGGAATCAATGCTAACATTGACATATTTTTTTTTATAAACATACGAACGCATTATGTGTTAACATCTTTTAACATGTGCTCATCCCATGCTGACGGCTGCCGATGTGCTTGTTGTGAAGCTGGATGTAGATCAAAAAATAATGAACATGCTTAAGCCATCAGTGTGTGTACGTGTATGTGTGTGTGTGTATGT